AGATTGAAAATCAGAGTTGAAGAACCTGCATTCAGCTCCGCTTGGGTTCAGCCTAGCTGGGCTCAAACAGAGATTCTGGAATGGGGCAAAAAGTCAGCAAGTTGTTGGCAAGCTGCTCAAGACTGGCAGTTTCTGGGAACACAGGCACAGTCATCATCAGTGCCCCAGGCAGCACGTGTAACATAAGGGGAGTTGCGATTGTCCCAGGGCCCATATAGCTCAGACCAACTCCCTTTCACAGCTACTTTAGCTCACGATTTTCCCCTATCACTGCAAGTTACTGCTGACAAGTGGACAGCTGCCTCCTCCCAGCACAGGAAAGAGATGAAGTTAAGTACATGAAGAGGAGAGAGCTCCTGGGCCAGATGGTTTCACTTTGCTCCCTGCCTGGACACCTTTCTTGTGCCACTGGTAGCAGACTGCTCACCCAGCCAGGGGCCACCACATGCCCCTGCAGTCCCAGGCTCTCCCACTTGCTGCTGGATGTAGCAAGAACACCCACCACCAAGATCTGGGATCCTGTTGTTCATCCAGATCAAATAGTACCTGTTAAAGCACTCATAGCTGGGTTAGAAACATGCCAGTAATATGCTGGTCCATTACAGTGACTTTAAGCCCTACTCCAATTAATGCAAAGAACAGAGACTTTAAGCTGAAGAAGTCTTAAAGGAATACATTTTATATCATAGAAAGAATTGTTTCTTCACTTCTGATCAGTTTCTGGACCTACCTCAGCAGCACATTGCAGAGAACCTACATTGGGTGCTTGCTCACTCCCTCTGCTTTGGATTCAGCCGTGTTCAGGCACCTCTGGCAATAATCACGCTGTCTTAGAACATCCCTCAAAGCATTTGCATCTGTTCATTGCAACAAATTGATGCTTTGAAATATACATTCACTACAGAAAATAAAACTCTAGCCCTTTTAGCACTACTAGAAAAACTGGGATCTGTGTTTCAATAGTGCTTAAGCTGGGGAAATTACGTTATTCAGTTTCTCAGGTGTCAGATACACATTTCTTCTCTCAGTAAAAGCTCATATCAAGGCAGCTAAATACTCAGATTTAAAAATACCAAGTATGTTATTTTTCAGATTCAGGACTCATTCACATGAGTAGCATTTGTTAGGAGGAGGTGGCATCCATATATCTCAGCCTTTTGGGGAACATGGTGCAAGTCAATGCCTTGCACACTGCAGTAGAGACAAACCAGGTGCCTCCCTGGCTGCATTAGCCAAGCAATGTAAGCCGTGTTTAACTTTCACAGATGCACTGGTTCTATTTCCTCCAGAAATACAAGATCATTCTATAAACAACAGACTCATGCCTAGAATGGATTGATGTTATATTTGCATTTTAAATGATCAGCTGAAGACTGGCTAATTTATATATCAGTGGTCTGAGCCTGAAGATAGTTCCTAAACTTGTGGGCAGAGAGAAAAAAACATTCAGATTCTAACTTTTGTTTGATTCTATCAACTTTTACACTTCTATTATTGCAACTCTCAAATGTTATGTCTATGTAATGTCAACTTGTCTTACCTCTAAGCAGCTTCAACAATAACCCAGACTGAATAACCCTTTTTAGGTGCCAGCTGTGCTATTCAGAAACATTGTCAAGCCAAAATAAATATTTTTTTTTTTGTCTCTCCTAATTTATAATCAATCCCACCAAACCCACAAGATGTCTCAGATGCCTAGTCACCCGGCTCAAATGGCTAGTCACCCCAAAGTGTTATTGCCCAGTACTGTTTGCTCTGAACACTCAGAGCAGCAAATACAACTGTCATTTATTTTTAGCAGTATCATCACAGTCAAATAAGTTCAAAGGTTAAAATACTTGCATTGTGAAACAAGATCATTACAGATGAGGACTGAAGAATTGTGACAGAAAGAGGTGCACACTGCAGTCAGCCAGGGAGTGCTTTTTAGTTGAACACAAAAACCAGATTTTTCAACTCTGAAGTTATGGGCCTTAAGCAGCACCCCAGTAGTGATTTGTTAAATCTGTGCGGGAAGCGTTGCACCTTCACATATGTTTGGTAAGAGCAACCAAAACCCAAGGAAAACAACATCCCCTTTACAGCTTATCTCTAATTGCACTGGGTGCTAACCAACTAGTTTCTCTGTCCAAGAACTAATAGCAGGAATATGATAGAAGGAACAGTCTTATCACACAAGCAAGTTAACATTTATTATTGCCATATCCAAAGTCCAGATTCCATCCTGCACACTCCGCTAACTCAGCAAACCAGAGCTGAGCGCACGCATGCCAGCTGGCCTCTGACCTCCTGTGTGTTGGGCTTGTTTCAGCACACATCTCTTCCCCTTCGCAAGCACCGCGAAGATCAGGATGTTGCTGGTCTGTCTTTGAGAATACAGAGGAAATAGCAACTCCCTGAATGGGTGTCAGAACAATCCCGTTTTGCAGCACTGCCCAGCCATCAAAAGCATCTGTTCCTCAATCAAGAGGACTTTATTGCAGACAAAGCAATGGTTCTGAAGTTGTATCTTGGTTTGAGGCTTGCCACTTCCGTTTCAAATGCCAAGGCTGTACACCTTAATGGTTGTCTATTTTTACCACTTTAATAAAGCGATAAAAAAGTTTAATAAAGGCAGTTACCTCTACCTACAAATCTGTTTGTAGATGTCCTCAAACCACCGTTCCCCTAGCATCACTACTGCCACTACTATTTATGCAACCCAGGAGTCTCACACTCACTAGCAAGCACTACGTGGTCAGGAAGTCAACATTTCCACACAGCCCAACATCCCATGTGCTTACAGACATTCATCCTGATGTTACACAATCAGCCCCCTGACTTGGTACAGTCTTTTCCAACACTTCCCAGCAGTGGCAGTACCCTCAGGTAATAGCCGTGCAGCCCATTTCCATGTTGCTGCTTCTCACCATGAAAGATGTGTGCAGATATCAGTACCTTTGTCTCTGCCTTTGTGCCTTTCATAGTCTCTTACTGCACAGCTCTTACTTCCACAACTTGAATTTTTCAGCTTACTCCTGAGATGCCCTGTTGATTGCCAAAGGGCAAGCTAAATAGTAAACCTACTGCTATTATTATAGTAAGAAAGGTGAAGCTGCAAGCAGGAAAAAGGTGCTACTACAGTAAAAATAAAGCACCTGAAAAAGGACATCCAAGGTAGAGCTCTCAGTCACTGCTATAGACATAGTATACCAGTGATAATTAAATAATAATAGCATTAAGTACAAGATAATGTGTAACAGCCTGGCCAAGGCCTCTCTGGGATCAGCACTGTGTAGATAGTGATGTTTTCCTAATGCCAGATGGGTATGAGAAAGGAAAACAGCACTGGACCAATTACTTAAGTCTCACAGGGGAAATACAGCCAAATGAGAACTAGGATATAGAACTTGCTACTCTCAGCCCACTCTTTAGACAGAATCCAATTCCACTGCTTTTAGCAATCAAAAATTCTGAAAACACCAGTTTTGACAGCAAGCATCTTAGCAAAGCACAGCATGCTCACAGTGCCTCAGCTTCCAGCAAACAAGAGAAGTGGAAGCACTTGCCAGTATAAGCTAGTCTGCTACAGGCTGGCAGAATCCTCCAAGGATAACCAGCTTCACAAAACACAGCTGTGAAAAAGGAGTTGGTTGTGGAATTTAGGGCTGGCAAATTGCTAAAATGATCTCTCACACCAAACACCTGCTTTTACCCCTCTTCTGCAAGGTGCATGTAATCAATACAATCTCAAATAACTAACATATACAAAAGGAGAGGAAAAAAAAACCCCAAATACTTACATTACTTACCCAGAAGAACAAGAATAAACCACCTTTCTCCTTATGAGACAGGGAACAAACTCTTCTTTATTGTAACAAATTTTTAAGGGTGAGCAAGTAGCTCCAAGAACATTTCCCATTAAAAGTAGCAAAGGGAGGAACTTACAATTTTGAAAGCATGCGAGAAGTTCTCTCTCCATCTCTTACCAGTGGCATAAGAAAGTACAAGTTAGATACTACACACAGCAAATCCTGTGTAAGCTAGTACAGAACTATGTATTTACCTAAACAGATACATAGCAATAGGTTTAAACCCTATGTATTTATATAAATCAAGTGCTTATCTGAAGACCATCTCATTTGAAGCCCTCACTTGCTCAGAGGCTAATCAGTACAGCTGGAATTAGAATGTCTTATTCCTGTGAAAATCTGGGACTTGATTCTCATATGCTCTATGCTGGAATAGTTCAACATCACATTTTAAAAGCAATGTCTCCCTTTTCAGCAGCAGCAGCTCCAAGAGACTATACAAGGCAGACCAAAACAGGTAAATGCCTACTAGAGATGGTCACAACTGCAGGCTGTGTAGTAAAACTTGCTGATGGTCCCTGTAAGACTTCCTATTTGAACAGCCTTGCTAGTGTTAAGTCAGCCTATATGCAGCTGATTCACCCCTCACTGTAGCATCAGTATATGGCAGCAGCAGTACTCTCTACTTACAGCAGTGCAGTATCAAGGGCATTGACTCTGCTGTCTGCAGAGCCTTTTCTTTTACAGAGTTTTTGTGTTCAGCTGCCAAGTGTTTGCCTTCTCTGCAGAAGCCTAACATTGTTGGAAAATAATACCTTCAAGAAGTGTTAATGAAAAATGATTTAGCAGTTATTGAGTAAGTCTCTGAAAGTCCCAGGCAACCAATATCAAGAACCTTGTTTTTACTATACACAGTGTTAGACCTAGCCTCTTCACGATAATCTTTGTGGTGCTCCAGCTCTTGTGGGACACCACTCATCTACGTGAGAAAGGAGCCAAAGCAGGATCAGGCATCACCGGAATTGGGTTGGACTCAAGTGTGCGCTGCAGGAAACACAGATTACTGAGCCCCCTCTAGTGGCACGACGACGGGAGAGGCTGGCTTGCGCCTTGCAAAGGGACCTCCGGCAACTGCAACATGGCAATTGAGGGGTGAGCTCAGAATTATCCCGAAGGGATGACAACCACAACAGCTAAAGTACCAAATGCACTTTAATGAGTTCCATATTTTGTTCCCAGAAGGAATTTGTACCGTGTCAGTATGTTAGGTGGGTACACAACTTCCCCTGAACTACAGGCATGAGTGGAACCACTACAATATACTAGGTATTTAAAATTATTCATTATTCTCAGAAACTGTTTTTCCACAGTATTAGAAATAAGGCATGTTACAGGTGTGCAAGTGGCTGCTATATCCAGTCCTCAGATGCCATATTTGCCCTTTAGCTCTTCCACTTTTGCTATGTAAGCTTTCATTGCATCTTCTTTGGACGTTCCTGAAGGACAGAAGACAGGAAACAGTCAGATACCTCTACATGCAAGTCACAGTTCCTTGCTATAGCACATAACTACATGCTACCAGAGAGCAAAGGAGCCAAGAAGGTCACTTTGCTGCAAATCTAGTATTAAGAGTTTTAAACAAATGTATTCAGCAGTCACAAAGAAACAGTGTTTCAAAGCAAACTTACATTTGTACAGACAGTAACAGTGTTTAGTTCTATTAACTGCATTCACAATTATTACAGGAAAGCTATTCAGACAGCTTTGGCTGCATTTAGATGTAGTGCTGGCTCGTTAAAACACCAGGGGGAAAAAAAATAAATAAAAAATTCATAGATAAGACCACTTGTTTGGCTCCTCATTTAGAGGACAGCCCAGTTGCAACCTCCTGTTAGGAAAGCTTTAAAAGAAACACAACTGGGCGGATAGTTCAGTCTCTGGGGCACTAGACCGGGACTTTGAAAACTGATTTAGGTTTCTGCTGCTGTGGCAGTTCTCCTTTGTGTAACATCTTGGACCAGCTGAGCATTTTGCAACTTAATTCCCTTTCACACAAGCTACATTTTTCAGGATTACTTCTGCCTTGTAGAGGTAGCCAAAAGAGTTTACTACCACAGCATTCTGAACTTCTAGAACTCTTGTCTTATATGGCAACACTATTTTATTTCTTGCTGAACCACATATGCCTTTTCTGACTAGTTTGCCTGTGGTTTTATTTATTTTTAGTTTTTAAGCAGACACTTACCTTTCAATGCATTCCAGGCATCCCACTTTGCTTTGCCTTTGAAGTCCAGCATGCCAGGACGGTCTGAAAGAGACAGGATAAGCAACAGAATTAATTTGTATGGTCTGGAGATAGGTAATACCCACTCCTTTCCTGAAGGCTATTTAGGTCCTAAGATAAAAATACAACCATCGGTCTTTGCAGCTATTACTTACTAACCTATGGTCAGGAAATCACCTCGAGGGAGCAAGCTGGAACACTATTGGTGGCAACTGAGGTATTCTTCAGTTTCCTTAAGACAGCAGCATTGGTGTGATTTGGTTTTGTTCTACTTTCTGAAGAGACTGTTGTTGTGTGACAGCTATCCAATTAAAGAACATCAGCTCCAAAGTAAAGCAGAAACACCCTAAGGTCCTTTACACAGAGACATGAAAACAAAAGCTAGTAGCATACAGCTTAGAACTCATTATCATGAAGTTAATGGTACGTTTCTAACATATAGGTCTTATTTTGTTCTGTCACTTAGGGGTATCAGTTTTGAATTCTAACTCACTTCATTTCAGGCTACTTTGTGGCCAGAGAAGAAACTAATGAGACAGGCACGTGTTATTCTTCATGTAAAGTCCCCTCTGGGTTTTCCCTTCCTGACTGATTCCTTAAAGACAATTCTCAGGCTTAACAAATGGAACTGGACATTAGCCACAAAAATACCCTTGGCAATATGACCTGCAGAGCTAGTTGGCAGCTTTGCTTCTCTGCAACAGGAGCCCTATTAGCTTACTCTTACAGAGATTGCTTTTCTAGCCAACTCATTTCAGCCACTGCTTCACAAGAATACAGCAACTTACAGGAATGTTGGTATATTAAGAGCTCTAGAGCACCATTTCGCCTTGACAAACATTAATAATCTTAAGGTCCAGCCACAGCAAAAGGGTCATATCTTAAAACCAAAGTCCATGCTGCCCATTTTGGGAAAGAGACCGCAAGCACCCATACTTACCATTTCCCATACCCTTCACTGCCAGCTTTTAATTCAAGCAACACACAATAAACTTCACCAGCAATTGGGTCAGGAGGCCAGCACTCCAAACTCTCTTTCTAATTCTAGTCACTCAAGCGTTACACAAGGTCAATAGAGACAGACTTCATTCTAAATACTGTTCCTAGGCTGAGCTGCCACTGATGGAAGTGTAGCAGCAGACATAGCAGGAGAAATTTTGTACAGGCACCTGCAGAGATATTTCTGCTACAATCTTTCCAAGATGCGATATTTAATTGCAGCTCCTATAAGAGCTTTCTCCAGTTCTTCCGTTTTGTCTTTCCAGTACTATTTTTAGCAGCCAATCCAGTTTAAACAAACTGTCCCACTCCAACCCATACTGCAGTTTTGCACTTAGAGAGTTTGCTTTGCTGTTTAAGCCTGTTTAACTGCAAAGCGTCTGTATTCAGGCAGCATTCCTTAACCTAGGCAGCTATTTACTGAGAGAGGTCTCCTGAAGTCCCAAACCAAATATTCGTACAAAGCTAATAACAGAAAGGATTCTCAGACTGTTGCTGTATGATTTAGAAGACTGCAGCTGAGTTAATCTAAAATCCACAAGTTGCACAAACCCTTATCAGGTCAGCTTATGCCCGCCTGCATATAAATCTATGCCAAGTCGGTATTGAGTCATTCTGGCTAACCCGCGGGATTGCACGAACGGAGGCACGCAATAGGGGACAGGCTTCGCCTTCCAAAGTGCCT